ACCAACTATATATATATATATATATATATATATATAATTTAGATTTGGGAAACATTTCCTTTTATGACCATTTCATAATATATATATGTATATACACGGTTATGCAGAGAAACGAAAGCTGATGCTACTATTTCTTGTTCACGCACATTGGAATGTACCAAACATTAGGGGTGGGGAGTTGTAAATGAATAAAAATTGTCTTGCAATCAACAAAAATGTTTTGAAATATTATACAACAAACTGGGGGTCCCAATCCCAAAAGTGATGACAAGGCTATTATAAGGGGAGGGGTTGTGAATAAATGACATATATGTGAAACATACAATTGTCTTTTTTTCCATTATTATGAATGTGGGTATTTTAGATACTTGCAGTAATTTGCTGTCACTTTCTCTGTGTGTTGTGGAGGGGGTTCATCACAGCCTGAAATATTTTCAGGGGGGGGGGGGGCTCAGCAAAAAAGTTTGAGAATCCCCTTGCTTAATGTTTAGAATTTGGCAAAAAAACTATAGTCTCCTTTAATTTTGGCTGGCAAAATCAACCAAATGTATAGAAAAAGACTAAATAAAAATTGTTGTCAGTAAAATATTAGGGAGGGGGAATTATATTCAGCCCAATCTAGTAGGGGCACAACACACTGGTACAAAATATGTATGTTGTTTTCACACACTTTCTTCAGTGAGAGTAATAAAACAAAGAAAATTCACCTCCAGCTGGCTTACTTAGCTAGAAATTTCAATAATATATTCAGATTCATCCAGTGCATTTCTCATAACTAGTGAACTGCCCCCTTAACTTTTGGTTTTAGGGTCTTATAGATGATTTGTTATGTAAGAAAATATCCAGTTACATTTTATAAATGAAGAGTAATTTATTATTATTATATATATATATATTTATATTTTTTGCTTTAATCGTGTCTGAAAAATGTATTTTTTTTATTGGAACTAGATTTTTAGTGAATTGAAGTGGTCCATAAGAAATGTTTGTAAAAAAAATAGACAATGTAACTTGGTCACCTATAACAAAAAAACCCATTATGACATAGCTTTGCATATTCTTCATAGGTATATCCAACAAAGTTTTAAAATTCAAAGTAACAGCACAAGCAACATTCTCAAGCAAATCACTTTCCAAGTTTTTCATTTTAACTGAAGAAAAAAAATTATGTCAATGAAAAAGTTTACATCTAAATTTCTATGACTTAGGTCTACTTCCCTTGATATTTTCTTCAACTTTTCATACTACCACTCGGACACCAACCCCATAACAATCTGGAACATCCAAAGCAAGTTTTTCCTAATTCTTTCTTACTTCAGGGAGGAAACAAAATCATACCACCACTCAGACACCAACCCCATAACAATCTGGAACATCCAAAGCAAGTTTCTCCTAATTCTTTCTTACTTCAGGGAGGAAAAAAATCATACCACCAATCAGATATCAACCCCATAACAATCTGGAATATCCAAAGCAAGTTTCTCCTAATTCTTTCTTACTCCAGGGAGGAAAAAAATCATACCACCAATCAGATATCAACCCCATAACAATCTGGAATATCCAAAGCAAGTTTCTCCTAATTCTTTCTTACTTCAGGGAGGAAAAAAAGCCCAGAACTTTAAGCCTGTATTTAGCTTAAATGATTAAAACTAGCAATTGTCTCTATACTCTTTCCAACATGGTGACATCATCCCTGAAATAAGAAAGAACCAAAACTGCTTATTTCTCCAAATTAGGTTTTACCAGAGTCAGTTTACAATGTTACAATAACCTTCTTGTTTGTATATTTAAAATTCTTATCTTTTGTTTGTTGTTTTTTAACTACAGTTAACATATAGCAGATGGCTTTTTTTTTTATCAACAATGATGTCTCTGTTTTTACATGTGCTGGTCTAAAACAAGAAGTAAGTCCTTTCCAAAATCCTATAAATGAAATGGATAACTTTACACTTGTATTAAAATTCATATTCTATGTTACGACCTGTTCACTAAGATTGTTAAGGTCCAGACATTACAATCAATAATCATACTCAATCCTAATATAATCAGCTCTTCCTGGCATTTGAATATCATCAACACAGCAGATTTAGGAATAATATAGTAAAAAAAAAAAAGTTATCACATTCTTAACATAAATAAGAAAGAAGAAAGGTACTAAAATAAACCTCAAGGGATCCCACCAGTCACATTACACTTCCTCATTCATTAAAATATCTATTCATCATCATCATCACCCTTTACTTTTTACAATAAATTAATTTTGTCTCCACTAATTCCATATACATCCCACAAACTAATTAATTTCGTATTAAGCATCTCATCACAGACTTTTTGAGAGTCAAAGTTGCATCATCAGCTGGGGAATCTTCATCCTAAATATAAATTGAAGAAAAAAACCCTTTTCCAAAATCATGCTGAGATTCATTAATTAATTGCTGACTTTCTAAATGGTTTCTGACAACGGATGACTTGGTAATAATAGAAGTCAAACTAAAAGTCTATAGTTCACTACAATTAACACTTGCCAGATTGTTACTTCAATTTCCAAAAGAATTGAGTAAGCACTGTCCAAGAAATTTTAGACTAGTTAGTCTTACTTCAGTGGTTAAGAAAACTGTAGAGTCTCATAAATGATTTTTGCTGCAAGATCATTTGACGAAGTTCAAACTATCTGTCAGACAACCCATATTTCTTTACAAAGAGAAGAGCTTGCCTTATTAATTTATTAAATTATTTTCTGTATGTTACTTCTCTATCTGAATGAGGCTTAAGGAATATATTTAGTTTATTCAGATTTGCAGAAAAGCTTTTGATAAAATGCCACACAAAAGTTTGAGGAATGAGTGAATTAAATGAATTGAAGGTTGACTGGTTGAGAGGATGTAAAAAATTGTTATTAATGGATTAATAGTATAAGAGATGTACTGGGAACATTGCAATTCCTCACTTACATTAATGATGTTAATAAGGGCATAGCTGATAATATGGTTTAGTGAGGTAATGATATAACAGATGGACAAGAAGGGACCATTTGGTTCCTCAAGGATGTTCTTGCTCACCCATATTTTAGGAAAAGAAGATTAGAAATAAATATTTATTTTTTTTATCAGGAATTCATTGATTCATCCTCTTCTGTAAGATGCCGGCTTCCACTACTACCAAGGGTAACTCATTCTATACATTAATCATCCATTTTAGAACCGTCTTAACTGGAGCCTAACAGTTTTTACCAAATCTGAAACTTGTGTTCTCAACTTGTTGTTTTCAGGACAAAGCAGAGGCATGCACAGAACTTTAGTTTAGTTGTAATTCATCTGGGAGGTTGGGTCAGTGTATGAGCTTCACGAACC